GCCCAATTAAAAATAACCTGTGACAAGACCATATTAGAGTCACCACCACCAGAACATCATAACCAAACAGTTTAGGGCGTTTTGCTACGTGTAGAACCAAAACGAGAATACATTTTCATGGAATATTTCAACACCCTTTTCAATTTCCTCGTTTCCATTAAGCAAAAGGAAAAATGATATATGTANTCTCAACACCCATTTCAATTTCCTCGTTTCCATTAAGCAAAAGGAAAAATGATAAATGTAGGAACAAATAAAACATTTTCTTTATGAGCAATGCTATTAAAACCTAATTTGNTTTCAACACCCTTTTCAATTTCCTCGTTTCCATTAAGCAAAAGGAAAAATGATATATGTAGGAACAAATAAAACATTTTCTTTATGAGCAATGCTATTAAAACCTAATTTGTTGATCTAATTCATTATAATATTTGGATTGACTATATGTCTTATTAAACATTGAAACTTGGTGTCGAACCAATGGTTTCAATGAAGCCACATTATTAGATCAACTTTTTAAATCCAAATAACATTACTTTTCTTTATGCACTTTGGACCAATCTTGAACCNTTATTAAACATTGAAACTTGGTGTCGAACCAATGGTTTCAATGAAGCCCACATTATTAGATCTACAAATTAGATCAAATTTTTAAATCCAAATAACATTACTTTTCTTTATGCACTTTGGACCAATCTTGAACCTAACTAAGATATATCTATACTACCATAAAATGTCAACAAACGTGAAAAACTTTTGATTGACTATAATAGCCTTAGTAAAATAACTAATGTCAATACTATCCTTCTTTAATATAATTAACAACATAAAGTTAATATGAAGAATTATAAATTATTAATATAGTTAATGTAATAATTATAACTCAAGCTGCCCATTGTATCGTTTCTTTAGCCATAATAAGAAAGCTGAAAAGTGGCAGCTCTAGAGTCACATAACATATATGTAATGTACCCATACATATTCTGAAGTGAATAAATAGATCAGTTATCAAATAAATATAAATCTTATATTGCCCTCATTTTTTCTCTTCGTCACAAGCAAATATCTTTTGTAGATTCATCCATGTTCCATTGGTTTCAGATGGAATGCCAACAGAGCAGTCCAAGAAAGGTTTTCTTCTGAATTTGTTGGTTTTGATCAGGTGCCAGTGGCTATGAGTCAGTGTTTGGTTCAGGACCAGAGAGGATTGCCTGTCCTACGTACTAAGAATATTCTACTGTTTGATGATAATGGTTGAGAAGATACTTGGTGGAGTAAGTGGATGGAATAAAGCTGTAGGTTCTGTTTGCCGTCAAATGCAAGGGGCTGTGGTTGTTTTTGTTGCAGTCTTATTGGCTGGGAATTCTGAAGGTGAGGAATGGCTCACTTTTGAGGAGGAAGGGTTACAAAGGTGCATTGCCTTTGTAATGGCCTTACTTTTTGGATAGAAAGTTTGTTTCCTTGGAGTAATTTCATACTTTCTTGGGGATTTTGAAGGATTAAAGCCTTCAAATATTTTTTTGAAAATATCATTGTTTGATTCTTGTAAATGTTAGCTTCTTGTAATTCAGGATTTCAATCAATAAAATTTGTGTTTTTGTTAAAAAAAAGAAAAAGATGTTCCATTGATTTCAGTTGTAATATTAGTTTGCATTCTTGTTTGTTTTTTAAATGCATAATTTTAGTTTTGCATAGATGTTCTCCAGAGGTGGCATTTGAGGTCATTGAAGCAGAGACGCAGTCCTATCTTTTATAGGAAGTAGAGCCAAGTATTTGGATAGTGATGATGTGATGACTTCTGAGTTAACTATATCACTTCATGTTTGTAGGCTGAGTTACAAACGTTGTTAATCATACTTATATTATTTGGTTGTAACATTTTTCTTTTAGTATATGTGAATTGATTATTGTCTTCAGATGATGACTTGTGCCCCCAACAGATCAAATGGATCAACAAAAAAGTTATCTTTTAGGTATGGCAGTAAAAGCTATTAGCCAAAATTTTCTTATTATGGGTTGAGCTAAGTGTTCATTTGATAAGAGTAACTCTAAGCACTCTTAGTTACGATTAAGCAATGGCTTTTGGTTTCGGCATTGATTTACATCCATGTATTTGCCTGAAAATTTATGACTAATCTATACTATATATTATATATTATACTCTACCACTAATAAAAGTTAGGGTAAAGTGAAAAACTTTTGATTTTCAAATTTATCCTTCAACAATTTTAAAAAGTAAAATTTGTAATGTAGTAAATTTATAGTTATGAATACTACGTAAACTAAAGGTTACATGACATTTAACGAATAGTGTAATTGGGTATGTTACATTTCTGGTGTAAAGAAAAATTTATTGTGTTGATTGACGTCTTGGCCTTTTTCTTTTTCTTCTTTCAAACTGTTTCACGTATTCTTTGGTTCATTTTGCCTTTGTTTTATATTCGAAGTCAAGACTTTCTAATTTCTTTTTACATCTCATGGAATACTAACACCTATTATGTCCCTCTTTATACAATATATAAATGTTGCCTCAGTTCTAATGGTGTGGTTTGTTGGACTTATTATATTGTTTATTAGTTCATATCCTTAAAATCTTCTATTTGCGTGACGTGTAATATCTTTAGGAATCTATTATTCTTTATTTAGTTTTCCAAATAGAGTGCTCTAATAGAAACATAATAACATGAGAATTGAATATTCGAAAATCTCGGACATTGTCTAATACTTTTTTAGTCGTGCCCATAATTAGAAGAGAAAATCTCAATTTCAAATAGTGTCCAACACTCCATGTGTAACCCACCCAACAATTCTACATTAGGTCGTATCTACGGCTAAAAATTTATATATGTCAACATACAATTAAAAAAATTTGAAAACTTGACAAATGATTTCCTTGTGATATGCAAATACATATAATTGTTGAGACTAATAATATTGTTGTTTTACTTAAATTTTCTATTAATTAAAACCCATAAATGCATAAAAGCTTTACGTAATAATTGGATTTGGTATTTACCCACAAGAAATAAAAGGACTTGGTAAGGTGAGAGACACCAATAATTATAGAATTCTATCATGCATGATTAAGATTTCTCTTTTTACCACAAACAAAAGATTTTGAGAAATTCTTATTCAAATATCGACAATAGTATTAAACTTATATATTGCTCAACAATACCAGGAAGAACTTCAGAAGAGGGATGTTTGTAATTGATGATGTAAGTGATGAATATGATAATTTTGCCAAGGATGATAATAAATCCAGCTAAATGACAAGATCTATTTATGGGATGAGCTTTGGTTACTCCTTTTTTTTGACCAAGAAGAGCCAAGGAACAAATTGGGGTGGATTGATGGAATTTTGAAAATAGTTACATCAACAATCCACTACATTATACATGCATGCATCAGTTGTTGTCTCTCTTGATTTTTTATTTATACAATAATTTGTGAGGCATGTCAGGTTCATCACATACAATACAAGTTTATATGTCGTATGTATATAATACATCTTTTAAAATTCTTGATTTTTGTTTTCTTTTGAAGCCTAATAACTATAAGACCAAAATTTCACCAAAGGTAGTGGTGATCCTAGTAAAATTCAACAAAAGCTGAATCTTGATAAATGAACATCATAACTAAAGTCTAAAGGAAAATGATGATTTTTTGGAGGTACTATAAATATGATGGCTTTTGGCATAAATGGTATATAATTTGAATATTTACTATCTCAAAATTAAAATGGTTCACGTGCTACGCATTTGTGCAACTATNAAGAAATAAAAGGACTTGGTAAGGTGAGAGACACCAATAATTATAGAATTCTATCATGCATGATTAAGATTTCTCTTTTTACCACAAACAAAAGATTTTGAGAAATTCTTATTCAAATATCGACAATAGTATTAAACTTATATATTGCTCAACAATACCAGGAAGAACTTGAGAAGAGGGATGTTTGTAATTGATGATGTAAGTGATGAATATGATAATTTTGCCAAGGATGATAATAAATCCAGCTAAAGGACAAGATCTATTTATGGGATGAGCTTTGGTTACTCCTTTTTTTTGACCAAGAAGAGCCAAGGAACAAATTGGGGTGGATTGATAGAATTTTGAAAATAGTTACATCAACAATCCACTACATTATACATGCATGCATCAGTTGTTGTCTCTCTTGATTTTTTATTTATACAATAATTTGTGAGGCATGTCAGGTTCATCACATACAATACAAGTTTATATGTCGTATGTATATAATACATCTTTTAAAATTCTTGATTTTTGTTTGCTTTTGAAGCCTAATAACTATAAGACCAAAATTTCACCAAAGGTAGTGGTGATCCTAGTAAAATTCAACAAAAGCTGAATCTTGATAAATGAACATCATAACTAAAGTCTAAAGGAAAATGATGATTTTTTGGAGGTACTATAAATATGATGGCTTTTGGCATAAATGGTATATAATTTGAATATTTACTATCTCAAAATTAAAATGGTTCACGTGCTACGCATTTGTGCAACTATAAGTATATATATATATATCACCAAAAGAATCCAGAATAAATCTTCAATGCAATCATTAGACTTGGACTCTATTTAATATTAGAATTCACAATTAATTCAATTGATCGTAATTAAGTCCTTAATATGAACAAATTTATTTTACTCCGTGACATACCCTTGTAGCAATTCATAAATATAGCCACAAAAATAACCTTAATAAATAATACCCCATCAGTTTATTTATAAATAAGAAAAACAGACCCAAACCCCCCACCGTCCTAACTCTGGCAGAACCCACAAGAACTCTTGGTTCTGCCGGAACCAGTTCGCCAGAATTTTACGGCCGGCCAGTTTGTTTCCGCCGGCAAACAGATTCTTGTGGCCATTTTCGCATTTCGATCATCTCAATTTTGTAGTGAAAACATGCATGCTAAGATAAGTGATTGTCAATTGGAACGAACTATGAGCTTGAACAAAATTATCGTGATATTTATTTACCTGTGTTCTTCTTGGGTCCAAGGAGTTCCTTTCTTCCTCTCCACCTTCCCCGACGATCCAGACGCTATCTGACTCGGGCTCGACTCAGTCTCGCACCCACAGGACACATCCCAGTTACTCGGGAACTCGACCAGGTCCGATTCAATCGCCAAAACATCATGAACCAAATCCTCGTAGTGTACCATTATGTCCGCGGCTGACTTTCCTGGCACTCGATCAGCGATCAGTTGCCACCGGTCGGCGATTCCCTCGGGGTACATCACCAGAGCCTCCTCGAAGAGCTTGTCCTCCATTCTCGTCCAAGTGACCGCAGGAGCTTTTCCGATCACCCACTGATCATTGTTATTTCCGTTCTGAAACTCCATCGTAAAAGAATCGGTTCTATTGAATCTGTTCTTACTTTTCTATTTTCTATGTTTCTCTCTGGAGCTTTTCTTGGAGGGTTTGGTAAGGGGTTTATTGGTATGACTTATACATGACCTGGGTTCTGCGGAAATTTAGAGAGAGATTACAGATTGTAGGTAGTTTCTGTTAGGCGAAAGCTTTATTTAGAGTTAAATTACATCAGGTCTTTATTTTTATTGGCGCCAAAAGTTTTGGCAGTTGGCACATATAAGAAGTAATGTTATTTCCACTTAAAAATCTAAATTTTTTAAATTGATTAAGGGTTTTATTAAATATTAAAACTTATTTTTTAACTAATAATTTCAATAAAATTACATAATCAAATGAGATTTTTAGATCTTTAAAAAGTACACTAAAAATATTATATACTATTTTTTATGCAATATATTCCTCCAATTTTTAAGGATGATTTACTCTAAATAAGCCTATAAATATTAAAGAAAGTTGCACTTATTAATTACTAGCAATCACGTAAAAATATTTAAATAGTAACTTTTCTATAAAAAATTTAAATTATGTTGATAAATCAATTGATAATAAATTATGTGGGTATAATTAACTTTATAATAATAATTAGAGATAAAATAGAAAATCAATTTTTTTTTTACATATGTTGACATTTATAAGTAACTAGCAATGCACGATATGTGTTGCACGAAAATAAATTTAAATAATAATTTTTATAAAAAATGTGAATTATATATGTAATTAAATTAAATAATAAATTTGATGTCAAATAATTAATCCGTATTTTAATTATTATTAAATTTAATTATTAGTTATATTATAAGTCTTTGAGTACTTATTTTTTTTTTGAGTACTTAATCAGTCATTTGTTTTAGGCATTTGCAGATCTAATTACATTATAGAGAGAGTTCAAAATAATTTAGAAGTCTTTATAAAAAAGTCAAAAAACAAGTTAAAATTCAAATAAGAGCAAAAAACAAAAATAAGATGAAAGTATATAGGTAGATATAATTGACTTTATCATAATAAATAAGGATAAAATAGGAATTTTATTATAATTACAATATGAATTTATTGCATTTTTTTTGTTAAAGAGATTAATTAAATTGTGATGCTATTGTTTATATTATAATATTATTTGAAAACTTCAAAATTAAATATGACATATATTTGAAGTAGTCATAACCCGTGTCTGAAGGCACGATAAAATATTCGAGCGTCCAAAAAATCAATCCCATTATATTAAATTTTTTAAAAATATTTTAATTACAAATTAATTAAATATTAAATAATTAAATATATGATAAAAATGAGTGATGTGACATTTTTAAAGAAGAAATATATAAATAATTAAATATGTGATAAAAATGAGTGATGTGATTTGACGTTTGAGTCTGACAAATGAATGATGAGTGAGGAAAGTGATTGATGATAGTTTTGAGGGAGAAAATATAACTGAGATAAAATTTAAATACACTCTTATTTTATTAAATAAATATATATTGTATTTTACTTNTAAATGATGTGTGAGGAAAGTGATTGATGATAGTTTTGAGGGAGAAAATATGACTGAGATAAAATTTAAATACACTCTTATTTTATTAAATAAATATATATTGTATTTTACTTCATCACATAAACATATAAACAAAGATATATGAAATTATATGTAAGTGTATTACTAATAAATGAGTTCAAAACAATTTAGAAGTCAACTACTACTAAAAAATAACTCAAAATAAGTTGAAAGTTAAATAGGTATACAAAATAAAAATTAGATAAAAGTAAATAGGTGAGTATAATTAACTTTAGAATAACAATTAGAGATAAAATAAAAAATCAAAAGTTTTACATATGTTAACATTTATAAGTAACTACTAGCAATGCACGATGTGCGTTGCACGTAAATAAATTTAAATAATAATTTTTATTAGAAATGTGAATTATATATGTAATTAAATTAAATAATAAATTTGATGTCGAATAATTAATCTGTATTTTAATTATTATTAAATTTAATTATTAATTTATTTTATAAGTCTTTGAATACTTATTTTTTTTTTTAGTACTTAATTTGCCATTTGTTTTAAGCATTTGCATAGAGAGTTCAAAATAATTTAGAAGTCTTAATAAAAAAGTCAAAAACAAGTTAAAATTCAAATAAGAGCAAAAAATCAAAAATAAGATGAAAGTATATAGGCGAATATAATTGATTTTATTATAATAATTAAGGACAAAATATGAAATCAAAAAATTTTCGTAGATGTAGACATTTATAAGTAGTATATAGATATAGATATAGATATAGATAGATTATAACAAAAAAAAAAAAAACTCTACAGTTTGAAACCCAGCTTTTCGTGGATACCTTTGAAATACTTTGGATCTGAAATAAAATTTCAAATATTACATTTTAGACACATTGATTCAAAAGTCTTAAATCCAATTTAAAATTCAAAAATTTGAGAAATTGTATAAAATCAATTTAACAAAGAATTGTCTAACTTACAGAGAAACTCAACATTATACTGAATTCACTTTTTGCGTATAGAAATCACGATGAGGTCCGTCCATTATTGCAAATTGTATATCAACAAATAGGATTTGACCCTCCTCAATTCATCCCCAATCAAGAGTGTAGGAAAATCCACCAGTTCACCATACTGGCAATAATTGGAAGCTAGAGGAGATCAATCAGTGGCTAGACGTTGCTATGAGACAAGAAATTAGTTTATTTTTTGCNAAATATTAAAACTTCTTTTTTAACTAATAATTTCAATAAAATTACATCATCAAATGAGATTTTTAGATCTTTAAAAAGTACACTAAAAATATTATATACTATTTTTTATGCGATATATTCCTCCTATTTTTAAGGATGATTTACTCTAAATAAGCCTATAAATATTAAAGAAAGTTGCACTTATTAATTACTAGCAATCACGTAAAAATATTTAAATAGTAACTTTTCTATAAAAAATTTAAATTATGTTGATAAATCAATTGATAATAAATTATGTGGGTATAATTAACTTTATAATAATAAATAAGAATAAAATATAAAATTAAAATTTTTTATATTGCTTATTCAATTGAATAACATATTATATGCTGAATAATTAATTTTTATTTTAATTTTTGTTAAATCTAAACTATTGATTTATTTTACCCCTTATTTGAGTACCTAAAATATGTTAGTTTTAGGTATCTCTTGGAGCCTTTTAGACATTTCCTTTTTTATTTATAATGGAGATTTATTATAAAATTGTTATTCTTAAGCATTTTATTATAATTACATTATGAATTTATTGTATTTTTTTAAAGAGATTAATTAAATTGTGATACTATTATTTATATTATAATATTATTTGAAAACTTAAAAATTAAATATGACATATATTTGAATATATATTGTATTTTACTTTGTCACATAAACATATAGACAAAGATATATGAAATTATATGTAAATGTACTACTAATAGATGAGTTCAAAAGAATTTATAAGTCAACTACTACTAAAAAGAGTTTAAAATAAGTTAAAAATCAAATAGGTATACAAAATAAAAATTAGATAAAAGTATATAGGTGAGTATATAATTAACTTTACTATAATAATTAGAGATAAAATAGAAAATCAATTTTTTTTTACATATGTTGACATTTATAAGTAACTAGCAATGCACGATACGTGTTGCACGAAAATAAATTTAAATAATAATTTTTATAAAAAAATGTGAATTATATATGTAATTAAATTAAATAATAAATTTGATGTCGAATAATTAATCCGTATTTTAATTATTATTAAATTTAATTATTAGTTATATTATAAGTCTTTGAGTACTTATTTTTTTTTTTGAGTACTTAATCAGTCATTTGTTTTAGGCATTTGCAGATCTAATTACATTATAGAGAGAGTTCAAAATAATTTAGAAGTCTTTATAAAAAAGTCAAAAAACAAGTTAAAATTCAAATAAGAGCAAAAAACAAAAATAAGATGAAAGTATATAGGTAGATATAATTGACTTTATCATAATAAATAAGGATAAAATAGGAATTTTATTATAATTACAATATGAATTTATTGCATTTTTTTTGTTAAAGAGATTAATTAAATTGTGATGCTATTGTTTATATTATAATATTATTTGAAAACTTCAAAATTAAATATGACATATATTTGAAATAGTCATAACCCGTGTCTGAAGGCACGATAAAATATTCGAGCGTCCAAAAAATCAATCCCATTATATTAAATTTTTTAAAAATATTTTAATTACAAATTAATTAAATATTAAATAATTAAATATATGATAAAAATGAGTGATGTGACATTTTTAAAGAAGAAATATATAAATAATTAAATATGTGATAAAAATGAGTGATGTGATTTGACGTTTGAGTCTGACAAATGAATGATGAGTGAGGAAAGTGATTGATGATAGTTTTGAGGGAGAAAATATAACTGAGATAAAATTTAAATACACTCTTATTTTATTAAATAAATATATATTGTATTTTACTTCGTCACATAAACATATAAACAAAGATATATGAAATTATATGTAAGTGTATTACTAATAAATGAGTTCAAAACAATTTAGAAGTCAACTACTACTAAAAAATAACTCAAAATAAGTTGAAAGTTAAATAGGTATACAAAATAAAAATTAGATAAAAGTAAATAGGTGAGTATAATTAACTTTAGCATAACAATTAGAGATAAAATAAAAAATCAAAAGTTTTACATATGTTAACATTTATAAGTAACTACTAGCAATGCACGATGTGCGTTGCACGTAAATAAATTTAAATAATAATTTTTATTAGAAATGTGAATTATATATGTAATTAAATTAAATAATAAATTTGATGTCGAATAATTAATCTGTATTTTAATTATTATTAAATTTAATTATTAATTTATTTTATAAGTCTTTGAATACTTATTTTTTTTTTTAGTACTTAATTTGCCATTTGTTTTAAGCATTTGCATAGAGAGTTCAAAATAATTTAGAAGTCTTAATAAAAAAGTCAAAAACAAGTTAAAATTCAAATAAGAGCAAAAAATCAAAAATAAGATGAAAGTATATAGGCGAATATAATTGATTTTATTATAATAATTAAGGACAAAATATGAAATCAAAAAATTTTCGTAGATGTAGACATTTATAAGTAGTATATAGATATAGATATAGATATAGATAGATTATAACAAAAAAAAAAAAAACTCTACAGTTTGAAACCCAGCTTTTCGTGGATACCTTTGAAATACTTTGGATCTGAAATAAAATTTCAAATATTACATTTTAGACACATTGATTCAAAAGTCTTAAATCCAATTTAAAATTCAAAAATTTGAGAAATTGTATAAAATCAATTTAACAAAGAATTGTCTAACTTACAGAGAAACTCAACATTATACTGAATTCACTTTTTGCGTATAGAAATCACGATGAGGTCCGTCCATTATTGCAAATTGTATATCAACAAATAGGATTTGACCCTCCTCAATTCATCCCCAATCAAGAGTGTAGGAAAATCCACCAGTTCACCATACTGGCAATAATTGGAAGCTAGAGGAGATCAATCAGTGGCTAGACGTTGCTATGAGACAAGAAATTAGTTTATTTTTTGCCGAGTTAACGAATACCCCAGACCAATTGGAGTGGCAATTGACGGAGTCAGATTTGTTTACAGTTAAATCTGCATGGAATTTGATAAGAGACAGAGGCCCAAATAGTGTTATTTCCTCTGCTATTTGGAAACAAAATGTTCCTTCTAGTGCTTTACTGGTGGGGTGGAAGGTGTTTAAGCATGCCTTACCTATGGATGAAAGTTTTCAGAAGATTGGTGTTTCTTTGGCCAGTAGATGTCCATTGTGCTGCATGGGGGAGGAGTCTTATTTACATATGTTCATTGAGTGTGCATTTGCAAGGGAGTTGTGGAACAGGTTTCAGAATGAGTCACCTATGATGAGATTTTTCAGATTAACCAGGGTCTTTTCTAAGAACTCATATAGTCACTCATTAGTTAGAGGCGTATCTCTTCTGATCTACTGGCAGCTATGGAGGGAAAGATGTAGGATGCTTTTTGAGGATGCTAAGTTACATTCTTCACGCCTGGTATCTATTATTCTTCACTACCTAAAATTACAAGGGTATGTAGTGAAACTAAGTGCTGCTGATTCACTCAAAGGTAAATTACTGCTTTCTGAGCTACAGGTTCCAATCCACACAACTCTTCTGTATACAGCTTTATGGATTAAGTGGGAGCTGCCTCCAGAGGGTTTTCTTAAAGCCAACACAGATGGAGCTTCTCATGGCAATCCTGGAGAAGCTGGGGGAGGGGTTGTTCTGCGTAATCAATGGGGACAGTTGGTAGTTGCGCTTGATGGTTTGACTCTGTTGGAGGACTATGGCTTGTCAGCTTATCCATTTATCATTGAATCAGATTCTCTAGTCTTATTGGATATGATTTCTGGTAAATTAAGCATTCCATCGAGACTCGGGATTGATTGCTCGAATTTCTAAGAAGTTGAGTAATATGTCTTCTACATTAGTTCACACTTACAGAGAAGGAAATATGGTGGTTGATTGTTTAGCCAGGAAAGGGGTTATAGATAAGGCGGATCTTCGGATTGATTCACCTAATTCTTTACTAGCCCAAGCAAGATTTTTGGTTTTACAGGATCAGATGCAAATTAAAACAGCAAGAAAGAAGAGGTTCTGGGTTCATTCCCCACATAACCAAGGGGTGGTCAGGCGTTAAACAAATATGTTTTTAAAAAAGCATGGACAGAATTGCTTTGCAGATAAAGGTATTCAAGAGAAATAATTGGAGAATATTGCTGTTAGACTACACAGAAGATAGGAGTACATACCTTGTGCTTCTAGAGCTGCACAATAAACTTTGTGATTATCTCTAGGCATCCTTAGAATGTTGGAATTCTCTTCAGCTTCCAGATTCAGTCTATCTCAGTAGGACTTTGCAACTGATTGGTACACAATGGCTGTCTCGAATTTCTGGAATCTCAATCGTCATTTTCAGGAACTTTATGGCTGGATCCTCATCTTCTTCGACTCAGGAAATTCATTCTCTCAACGACTATAGCTATTGGCTGTTCATGCTTCTCTCTGGTTTCTTTAACAAAGCCTCTTGGTTTCTCTTCGTCTCTGCAGCGGTATTACAGACAAAGCTTAAATAGGGATCTTCTTGCTGGAGATTTATTTTCTGGATACTCATCACACCATCAGTGGGGAGAATCTCTTCTCATGGACTTCTCTGGCTCTGTTCAGTGGTTTCACTAGCCATGTCCATTGGTTTTCTCGGGAGGCTCTATCGTGGTTTTTTCTGTGGACTCCTCTTTATTTGGATCTGGGCTTTAATGGCGATTTGCTGCTGGATGTTGCCTACCTATCTGATCAGAACGCTTTACTTCTATGAGGGGATCTTGCTGGATATTCATCTTCTCCAGTTTCCAGTCGACTTCTTCATTGGATTTCTCTGTAATAAGTTGCACTGTGCTGGATATTCACCTTCAACTGTTCTAAGAAGGAGAGAACATGGCAGAGAGCTGGACAGACTTTTTTGTGGTTCGGAGATTTTCTCTGATCTTTGTTCTGAGACTGGTCATCTGCCTAACAGTGGGATTATCAATCTGCCCACTTCTCGGGCGTCTTATCAGCGACCTTCTCAGACCAATAACATAATCTTATCAGCTGTCTTCTCAGCAGACTTATCAGATTTAATGCCTTATCAGATCAGTGGCCTCTCAATTGCCCTTATCAGATCAGTGTCTCCTCATCTGGCCTTATCTGATAAACTTTATCTCTAGCATAAATGCTTTTAGTCAGTTTACTATTGCTCGTAGCCCGTGCTCCCAGCTCAGGTTGCAAATACTCTCGGCTCATTCTAGCCTCAGATGCCGCCACTCTCAGCCTAGGCTCACAGCTCATCCATTCTCTCTCGTTGCTAGTCTCTCAGCTCACGTTAAATGCTGTCTTTTTTGGCAGCCAATATTAACTTTAGGTAGCATGTTTAGTATATTTTTTATTTCATTATTATTTGTACTACACATTCATTTTGCCATTTATTACTTTTATTTCATTTTCATTTATGTATCTAGATTGCATCGAGGGTAAGATACATACATCTCCCTTGATTAAGTGTAATTTAATCTTTAATCAATAAAATTCTTTCGCACCGTTGAAATTCCCTAAAAAAAAAAGTGTGATTTGAACTTTTTCTTAAACAAATGATATGTTTATACAATAAATGCATAGATCACAAATGCAAAATGATATTCAACAAGGATTTTGTTTTCCATTTATAGTGAACAGATACTAAATTGTGGATCATGTTGTCGTAACTTATAATTTAATAGACACTAGCATTTTCTTTTCTTGATGATCAAGAACGTTTGAGAAAATAAACTTTTAATACCCATAAAAAAATATGAAAATGGATATAAAGAAACAATCCGTTTCCCTTTCACCAGGGATAAGATTAAAAAAAAAAAAAAATTTTGGTACTGTACCACCAAATTTTATAAATTTTGTGGGTTGAGATACAAGATTTTAGTTATGTTTATATAAAAAAAAAATAATAACTTTTGAAATCATTTTACAACTATTATGATTCAATTTACAATTTTTTGAGTTGTTTGCGTTCAGGAGCGGAGCCATAAAATCTTCTTGGGTTGCGACTTTTTTTCTTCTAATCAATAAAATTAAATTGATACTTGTATTATTTACATCATATTTAATACTTAAAATTCACTAAACATAAAAGAATAAAAAACCCTTATAAATAGTTTCTAATGTAAAAAACAGTAAAAAAGAAAAAAAATTGTGATTATCATGGTCTAAACTTACTAGTATAAATGAAAGTTTTTTTTTTTTCACTGAAGCAGAACAACAAAAAGTTCAAATCATTCCATATATAAAACATACTGCCCAATAACTTCTGATGAGTTGTGTCGAAACGTACAATTGCCCTGAAACCAACACAATGAAACAAAAAATTATCAAAATAAAAGTTTTTAAACAAAATTTGCATGAAAAAAAAAACATAGATCAACTATAAAAATTTAATCCACCAAAATTGAAAAATATTCAGGTGCATAATAGAAATAAAGACCCCGATGATAAAACCTTTCATAAGCATCTCACAAAAACTATTTGATTTGCACCAAATAATATCAAGGTGATATACTCAAACATGATTTTAAACTTTATAAGAAGTTCAATAAAGGCAGAGCATTATTGTTTTAGAAAATCATTACATCATACAAAAACCTATCCTTTATATGATAGATTTTCAAAAACTTTAACAGTTAGAAAATTAACAAAACACAAAGAATTATCTTAGTGGCAAAGAAAACTCCCAATTTTGACCGGAATAAAAGCAAATGACTCTTGTTCTAGCCATTATTTTTTAGGACTATCTTTTTTTTATCAGTTTCGACATTATCAAAGATGTAACAGAACATCAAAGCTCTAATTTAACCTCAATCAGACCAAAAAAATCATAAATCAAACAATTATAAGAGCACAATTAAACTACATGGATGTACCTTGCAAACTTGAGAAAATTAATTGTGAGAGAGTGGCCCTGTTTTTTTGCTAGTGAGGAGTTTTGGAATGATTGAGAATAGATAGGGATAGAATTGAGAATGGTTTTATCAAGGTTGTATGGCCAATGCATCAACCGTATGCCCCAAAACATTAGCTTCTACAAGGAAAGAAAAAACATCAAGAATCCTGACCAGAACACCCAAAAATTATCATTGCAGGAACGGAAAAGTATTGAACCCAAATAACAATAATCACAAAATTGTCAATACCCCACATGTACATCATTTCAGGCAACCAAAGAGAGATGTCGAAGGTGGAGAAAAAACATTAACAAAATTAAATCAAAAAGTAAAAAAAAATAGATGGTGGTTTGGAGATCTTGAACTCTATCACACATTTCAGCAAACATTTCATGTGCATGTTGATTGGGGCAGTGATAGTGACCTAGGAGAAGAGAAAGTTAATGAATGGGAGGTGGGTATGGCATTGTGTGTTGTCTCTGTGTGTGTGCGTGTGTTGTGTGTTGCGTGTGTGTGTGCATCAGAGAGATGAAGGGAGATGAGAAAGATAGAGATAAAAAGAGAGGGAGTTAGAACCTGGATAGTGGATGTGTTGTTGGCATTGGCTTTGGTGGTGTTGATGATGGGTTGCTTCATGGTGTCGCTAGATAGAGAAATAGGCAAGAAGGAGAGGGAAACCAAAGGGAGAGAAAGAGTGTATGTGATATGAACAGTAAAATTGGAGAGTAGCTGCATTAAAATAGAATTTTGGGGAGACATGTGTCTCAGTTTGGAAAGAGAATCATGAAAGATGAGAGTGTGAGAGACAGTCAATGTCTCAGTATAGAAAGTGATCCCTTAACATAAGCAACAAAATCAGAGAAATAATGATAAGAGTTATAATCTTTATTTTAGGGAGAGAGAGACAGAGTTAAGGAATGAGAGATCACTTAATTGTCAGATTTGATTGGGTAGGAGAATTAAATTTAGGGATGTTAGTTTTGGAAACTAAAAGTTTTGAGCGGCAAAAATTTTTCAAGATCTAATGTGATACGTCAGATCGAAATAATTTACGAAGTCAATAGCTTGAGACAGTTCGAAATATTGTTGGCTGATGTCTTTTTTGATCTCAAAACGATCTGAACCCCTCTTTGTCTCTTGAATTTAAAATTGTTCTTTTTTATTATATAGATTTTAAACTTATTTATCAAATTATAGTCATGTTTGAAACAATGCAAACTCGTGCTTTAAAATATTCTTTTAAAGTTGAAAAGTATTTTGCATTGAAAAATGTTATGGCCTTACGGGTGCTTTGTATTCCATTCCTAGTTGAAAATTGATTTAAACTTTGTTCTTCTTAGGGATTTGGAAAGGTGGATGTGTTGAAATTCCACTTCAAGTAAAAGATCAATTAGAAACTCGATTGTATTAGGAGACAAAATATTTTGAATCTATAAATAAACCACTCAATTTTTTTTTCGGGGATTTTGACCCTCAGATTTGGGCATCTATGTTTTGTTCTATTCTCTATGTTATAGAATTGTGTAATCTTCCTTTGTTAATAGTGAAACTTTGCTACTGCGCTTTGCCCGTAGAGTATGCTATTAAGCTGATCCACATATATTTGTAATCTATATTTTTCTATTTCATTCGTTTATTTGTATGTAACAAACTGGTATTAGTAATTACCCAAAAAAAAAAAATTGATATCAGAGCTTTGCTTATGGGTAGAACTATAACAAAATTCGATGTATAAAAATTTGATGTTCAAAGCAGTTTCACTCACGATATACTCAACATGGAATGATTTGGCAAAAACTCTTGATGAGATATTGTGATCGCCGCTGATGAAGATTCAATAGGTTTACTATTATGAAGAAGATAGCTGAAAAGTTCACTTTTGGTTTAATGGCTTAGTGGGCACACAAGTCATGGTAGAGATTTGTTATGGATGCCTTTGATATTTGTGTTATTTCTTTACGGGAATTGTGGAGAAGGCAACTAATTCTTTTGCTTTTGTTTTGATGACTTGAGGTGGATATTTTTTGTGAGTGTCTTGTATTCCACTTCTAGTAGGACACTGGTTTGAATTTTGTTTTTTTTAGAGATTTCGAAAGGTGGATGACTTGAAATTCCATTTCAAGTAAAAAACTAATTAGAAACCCTGTTATATTAGAAGACAAAGTATTTTTGGTCTATACATAGATTATAGAACACTCAGTTTATTTTGGGTTTTTGGCCCCAGATTTTGGCCCCCAGTTTTGTCCATCCATATTTGATTCTATTCTCCGGATTAAAGAATTTTGAATAATCTCTTTTTGTTAATAGTGAAACTTTGCTACATCACTTTGCCCGTGGGAGTAGGCTTTAAAGTCGATCCACATAAATTTGTGTTTTGCATTTTTCTATTTCGTTTCAATTATTTGTTTGTGACTTTTGTTTATAACAAAAAATGTTCAAGGCTTAATAAAATTGTACCAAATTTTAATTGATGTCGGTTCTATGTTGATGAATGAACAAAATTTATTGAATTTGGATTTCAAAAGGTTTAATCCTAATTTTATTGGAAAAGTTATTCAAGTGGACGGATTTTTTTTTTTTAAAAAAAAAAAAAATCTATCCTGACGTTTATAAGAAATCTGGCAATTTTTTTTGATGGCCTAATTTACGCCATGGTAAGTGTCGGTATAGATTAGCCAGCGTTTAATTAAATGTCGTGAAATTTACTTACGTCGACAAAGTCGATGTTTAATTAAAACATTGTTGTTAAACTAATATGCCAGCGTTTACAAACTCTAGGAATTTCTTAGATTTTGGTACTGGTTTGTACTGATATTGTCAACTTCTCTTATAGTAGATTAAATCATGCCTTGTGTAAAGAAATTTATAATTGGAGAGATATAAAATAAATAATAAAACACAAAGAATTAACGTGGTTTGGCACAACAAGCGTACTTACATCGACAAGCATATTATTTCTCAGTAACTATANTGTGTAAAGAAATTTATAATTGGAGAGATATAAAATAAATAATAAAACACAAAGAATTAACGTAGTTTGGCACAACAAGCGTACTTACATCGACAAGCATATTATTTCTCAGTAACTATATCCAAGGTACTTAACCCTATCTTAGGATATGAGTAAGTATATTAGATAAATATGAGACAAAACATTAATCCTTATTTCCTAGGATATTGATAGATTTCATATATATTTTGAAGATAAAAGTAACAATCTCTTAGGCTCATCATCTATA